TTCACATTGCTTGGTTGAAAACGGTCACATTTTAAAAAACGTTCAGAAGAATATCAAATGAAACAGGGGTAAGATAGTTTTACAAAATTAAAATTCGAGCCAAAAGAAACGAATGCATAATTAATCAACGCAACCATCGTACATAAATGGCATAAAACGCGAGGAGAGTCTCTTGCGCATCTCGCTTTTCACTTTCTTCCTCGTGCGACCGCAGTGCCATCTGTTGGCGAGAAGAACAACCAGTGCGTGTGGCCCGAGTGAAGATGAGTTCCAGACCCGACATCAACCGCCGCAGTAAGTCAATTTATGTGATTTTCTTTGATGAACGTGAGGGTTAGTGTGGTTATTCGGATAAATGAAGATCCTAAATACCCGATTTCCTTTACAGTTGCGACGATCGCCAAGAAGAAGAGGGCGAAAAAGGCGAAACCCAACAGGCCTCAGGCACCCAAGGCTCGAGAGGGCAATGACAACAATTCCGCAAGAGGAAGGTGAGTCTCTTTTTAATATTCGGTAATGGTAGAGTAACGTCTTATTCTGTGTATTTTTTACACTTGCTTAGACGATTTGTGGGAGGAATGTAGGGGTTACCGGGTTTTTTTAAAAAGAGAAAACTGTGATTTTTTTTCTCTCGCTTTTGAGTTTTGTCGACTTTTTTCTCCTTTCTTCTCGTTTTTCTAGAGATTTTTAATTTTCGTTCTACATGACAGCATTTCGTTATGATGGATCACTCGGAGTTTACTTCATTTGCCAGATCGACTTATTACAAAGATACTGGAAAACACGAGTTTACTAAAAAAAAAAAAAAATATTATGTCAAATGTCAGAAAACATCCTGAAAGCGAAAAAGGAAGCGATTTAAAACAAAAAAACAAAACAAAAAGTAAAAGTGCGATTGCAATAATTTTCATCCGTTTATTGCTTTGCCGAAGAAGTAAACATCGAAAATAGAAATATGACACCTGAAACTCTTTACAACCATTTATATTACGAATTTTGTATTAAAAGTTCTCAAGGAACAGTGTGTCCAAAGGTGCTACATTTCATGTAATTGTCTTGCAATGTCTTTGTTTTTAAGTAGGAGTCTTGTTAGGGTTAGCATTCGTTTTAATTGTAGGAATTTGACATCTTGCCTTGGGGGTAATGATAGAAATTGGTTTATGGTGTTTCTTTCTAGGAAATAGAAATATGGGATTATTAATTATAAACCTGATTTGAATTATTTAATTATTTCATAAGTGTTTCCTCGAAAGGATGGGTTCTTTGCAGTAGAACACACACTGTAGATAAGGTATTTTTTTGCTTGTAGGCCTATTCTCATGCTGGATAATAGATAACAATTCAAAGCTTATCTGAGAGTCCATGCGGGCACTTGATTGCTTATCAAGCAGAGAATTTTTTATGGGAACACGTGTTGGAAGGTCGGTTTTCACAAGGCTAAAAGCACTTCCTTGTGGCCATGTGGTTATGTATGAATTGGTTAAATGGTTTCCAGTGTTCTTGTCCTGGCTATTACTGACATTGTTGATATGAGCCATGATCATTTTGAAATTGAATTAGGCCTTGATGGTGATTATCATGAAGTAGTCATAAATCCTTGTTTTGTGAAAGATATTTTTTTCTTTTAAGACAAGGAGGTGTGTCTCAGGGCAATTATTTTAAATTTGGCTAATCAAAATGGTGTGCAGTTAATACTGGAGTGTTGGTAATAGGATGAGTTGATCTCTAATTGCAAATCCAACATTTATTTTTAGAATGAAGGCAACAGATGCTGACTGTGAGAAACAAAGCATAAATGTTTATCATAAGTAAACATGTCCCTTTTTTAAGACTGCTGAAATTCACTTATAAGATTTTGCAATTTTTAACAAGGAAAGGCTGGATACTCTGATGATATATTTGTTTTTAACTGGGAAAGTATGCACACTTGTTATGGTGGAAGCATTTTGATGAATTAGCTTTTTCATGTTTTGTGAGATCATCTGTTTAGGATCTGGATGTGAAGATGAATAATGTCATGTTTGGATAGATTAGGGAGAAAGATCTAGGATATTTGCCTGTTTCAGTATTCTGTTTTTGTGATTGACCTTCTGTTTTATTAATTCATTCATTTTCTAGTCTGATATTTTTTTGGTGGTACCTTTATTTACACATAGAGTTGTGATGTGCATGAACCATTAAAGAACTAGAAAGTATTGAGAAAAGCACAGACCTCAGTGATTATGTTTACAGTGATTCTACCCTTGATCTATTCTTACTCTATCCCAACATCTACTCATCTATCCCAATCAACACCAAAATTTGTTCAGTTGGTTTTGGGGCTATATGCATCCTAGCCATAAGTTTTAATCAAGACCTGTCAAACTTCTGGTGTAATCCTGGTAATGAACCAGTTCATTTGTGTTGGTAAATGTATGCATATACTGATAGGTAAATGTGGCTCATTCTATACCAGATGACAACTTCCATTTGGCAGAGGTTAAAAAAATAGAAGTGACATGTGTTATTAATTTATAGGGAAACAAGCAAACCATCTTTTGCATCTGGAATGTGTTAGAATATATTAGATGAGATAAGAAAAACAATGGTGAATAGGAGCATGTTCAAGGATACTGAGGTGAATTTGAGTGTATTTGTGTTTGTCATTTAGTAATGTTTTCCATGTTTTTTCATTGGAAACTAAATTAAGGAACAGATAGGTCTGTAAATATGTAGTTAAATCATGTAAAGAGGTAGGCAATTGATAGCTTTTTGAGATTAGATATATTTTATCTTTGTGAGGTGACTCCATATTGATATGGTTCTTTGAAAGAATGCACTGAAATAGAAATAACCCTTGTATATGATTATTTATTCAAGCTCTATCTTGGAGGTTTTTAGATCCTTGCCTAAGCGTGAGGCATGGAGGCTGCGAAATTATATACAGATCCACAGACTTTGTGCATAAACAGATGTTTAAGGCATTCTTTATAGGCATTATATTAGTTGTGTCCTCTGTTTTCATGTAGTTCTATTCTGGATAATGAACAGTATATCTAATTGTTATCATTTTCCTTTATTTTTAATGTATCTTATATTATGTGTTGATAACACGATCTCTTATGTTTGCTCAGGCATATCACACATTTATACACATAACTTGTTCAGTCTACCCAACTATCATGTTTATGCCCCAAATTATTTTTTGCAATAATTATCAAGTTGGCACATCTATAAGTTGTGTGTATATTTGTGTATATATTATATATATATATACATATGTATGTATATGTGTATATAAAATGCTGATAAGTGTATTTAGATCTAAGACTCAAAAAAGCTGAGGGTGTTGTTATACTTTGCCCTGACTGAGAGAATTGAAGGTAGTTTTGGGTGGTTAAATCTATTTAACCATGTCCATGTAAACATGTGATGTTGTGCACTGAAACTGCTCTTATTTTTACATGTCATATGATAATAACAATTAAGATGATTAGTGGTGACCTGTGTGAGTGATTCTGTTTTATGTGTAGGCATCACTGATTCTGATCAAGATAATTTCAACTTGTTACAGGGTGAATGTTTTACAAGAGTCACAACATTAGATGTGATAGCTAGATGAACATATAATTACAGACATAAACATGGAGGCTTAGGCTTAGATAGCTGATATTTAGAATATTTATTTTTGAATATGATAAAATTGTTTTCCTGCCCACCTTCCTTCTTTATGTGAAATACTGCTTTAAAATGAAGCTCAGGCCTGTACAAAGTACCCATACCATTGGTGCCGATCTTAAGCTGGTGTCCTCACACCTTTTATAAGAACATTTTGTTGTTAAACCAAAACATCCATAAGTGCATGGGAATTCCTCAAGATGGCTAATAATCTATTTTTTGTGAAGAATCAAAGGAAATGGAAGGTGAGCATTTAACTTACATGCAGGTAACTGAATGATTTCCCTTTTAAGCATTGGCAGCCCCACAAGTAATAAATCATTAGAATTATGCAGTATTCCTCCCAGCATGTAGATTGCATGTGCTAAGTAGTGTTAAGTTTCGGTGACGGTCCAAATAGCATCCAGACTCATTGCCGTGGTTGACTTTAAGCATAGCATATTGTGTCCAGATGAGGTAGTGAGGAGTGATGGACTCATGGTTAGGAGCTTTGTACTCTTGCACTTCTCATTTATTCGCTGACATGGCCGTTGTTGAAATTGGAAAACTGGTGAGGATTAGCATGCTAATTTGTTGAATCTTAGTCTTAGTGGGAGAGGGGAAAATGGCAGGTAGGATTGAGAGAGGGAGAGTGATAAGGAGAAAGAGAGGATGGCGATGGGGGAGGGAGAAGAAGAGGGTGAAGAGAGAGAGAAAGAGGAAGAGGGTAGAGAGAAGAGAGAGAGAAAGAGAAGAGGGTGAAGAGAGAGAGAAGAGGAAGAGGTGAAGAGAGAGAGAAAGAGGAAGAGGCTGATGAGAGAGAGAGAGAAAGAGGAAGAGGCTGATGAGAGAGAGAGAAAGAGGAAAGGCTGATGAAGAGAGAGAGAGAGAGAGAAGAGAAGAGGCTGATGAGAGAGAGAGAGAAAGGGAAGAGGTTGATAAGAGAAAGGGGAAGAGGTGAAGAGAAAGAGAAAAGAGGAAGAGGGTGATGAGAGAAAAGAGGAAGAGGAAGAGGGTGATGAGAGAGAGAGAGAGAGAAGAGGTGATGAGAGAGAGAGAGAAAGAGGAAGAGGCTGATGAGAGAGAGAGAGAAAGGGGAAGAGGTTGATAAGAGGGGGAAGAGGGTGATGAGAGAAAGAGAAAGAGGAGAGGGTGATGAAGAAAGAGGAAGAGGAAAGAGGGTGATGAGAGAGAGAGAGAGAGGGAAGAGAGAGAGGAGAGAGAGGAAGAGGGTGATGAGAGAGAGAGAGAGAGGAAGAAAGGGTGATGAGAGAGAGAGAGAGGAAGAGGGTGATGAAAGAGAGATAGAGAAGAGGGTGATGAAAGAGAGAGAGAGGAAGAGGGTGATGAGAGAGAGAAAGAGGAAGAGGGTGAGAGAGAGAGAGAGAGAGAGAAGAGAAAGGAGATGAAGAGGAAGAGAAGGGTAAGAGCGAGAGCGAGAGAAGAAGGAGAGAAGAGGGTAAGAGAGAGAGAGAAAGAGGAAGAGGGGTGATGCGAGAAAGAGAAAGAGGAAGAGGGTGAAGAGAAGAGAAAGAGGAAGAGGTGATGAGAGAGAGAGAGAAAGAGGAAGAGGGTAAGAGAGTGATAGGGGGGAGAGAGAAGAGCCATAGGCGAGAGAAAACTGCAGGGAGAGGAAAAGAAGAAAAACATTATATTAATAGAGAGTGAAAGAGTGTCCTAGTATGGGAAAGAGAAAGGACAGAGAGAGGAGAGGAGAGGGGAGCAGAAGAGAGGAGAGGTGGAGGCAGGAATAAGAGAGGGGGGGAGCAGGAGTGAGAGGGAGAGTGACGTGGTTACGGTGGCAGATGTGTTGTGTATGTGTAAAGAGGAGAGGGGATGAGAGAGAGAGAGAGGG